GACAAAATGATCATAGATAGATAGATAGATAGATAGATAGATAGATAGATAGATAGATAGATAGATAGATAGCTGGAGGCTATCAGGAGATCATTGACCACTGTTCAGACATGGTCACATCTTGTGTACTGGCCTAAGGCTTTGTGCAGTTTTCTGACAAAATGATTATGAGAAATCTGCCCCTGGAATGATAATGATGGATCAATGGATTTTTCCACGAAGAGTGCAACCCAGTCCAATTTGTTCTGAACAACAAGTTGGACATATATACAACCCTATTAGTGCTGACACCCTGCTTGTCTTTAATATGCTGGGCAGGTAGAGCATGATCACCTCCATGCCAGAAATACATTCATCTGTTAAATTTGGAGAGTGCGTGTTCAAGAATTTTCAAGGTGTTTTTAAGGCTTTTCCCCCCCAAAATTCACAAATTTCCTCATGTTCAGGCCAGAAAATTGAAATAAAGGGGAAAGAGAAACAGAGATTTTAGCAATCTCTATTGAATGGCGATAGAAAAAAGTTGCTTCTATGGTGCCATCAGAGCCACTGAGTGGGTCTGTTATGTCTTATATGTGTACAGTTACGCAAATAACATAACTTTGCTCTATTAAATCAAATTATATGCCATTTTTATACCAGTGTTATCCCTATCTCCTGCATTGGCCTCAATAATGAGATATACTAAGAAACTCACTGTAGTCTTTGTAGTGATCATATAGAGAACCGCCTTCCAATATGGATTAAGTTCTCAAGTCAAGACCCTACTGTACCAGCGTTATCCCTATCTCCTGCATTGGCCTCAGTAATGAGATATACTAAGAAACTAACTGTAGTCTTTGTAGTGATCTTATTAACAATCAGAGTCATGTCTACAGGCCAAAGAACAACCACTGTTTGTATTGCAGACAATGCCATTTACAAGCTCTTCAAGTTTCCCTCAAATCCAACATTTCCAGGGCTAGATTATCCTACTTGGTCCCCCTCAGAGTAGAAAGGCCACTGTAAAATCAAGCATATTCATCTTCTATTCATGCCTTTGAACATGAGTTCATGCAGAGCAATGGATGCAATATTTCCAGTTGTACCTTTGCCCCATCTTAGCTAACACTGATGGATAATTAACTATGACAAAAAGGGTGATAAGGTCAGTAACCAATTCAGTTCATCACATGATATCCAATGTGATAACAGGTATCATTAACATAAGGCTGTAGTCTGCAGGTGGCTAAATCTGATTTATGCAGAAGTCTCCAAAGCATATGTAGAAGGCCTGATGAATTCAGCCTTAGAACTGCAATTCCCTATTGTAAAACCCACCATTGTTCTTGGGACTGTTTAGTTTAGCAGAAATGGAAAGAAATGAATTATAAAATAAACAATTTCCTTTTCCCTATTGTAAAACCGACCATTGTTCTCGGGACTCTTTAGTTTAGCAGAAATGGAAAGAAATGAATTAAACAATTCATAAACAATTTCCTTCTTGAATTGTCTCAAAAGCCTGAAATAAATAAAGCAGGAAACATACATACACGTGTGGGTGGCATAGTTATATCTTGTGATCATGTTCTGATGGGTTTCCCCCCCCCCAAAGAATACAAAGGATTTTGGTCTCCAGGGCTTTCACCAACAGGAAATTTATTGACATGACTTCTTCCCACACACAGAAATACACTGGCGAATAATGAAAATACATTAAATAAAAAAATAGTAAAAGGGAACTCTGATTTTCTGAATAAATATTTCTTACTTACTCTAGTTCACTTTAAATGTTACTCTTAAAAGTGCATACACACACTTGGGAAAATATGCCATAACATGAATATGGATACCTGTTTGCTTTATTAACTACAGGAAAGCCTTTGATTGACAAATCCAATAGGGTCACCTGATGGAGCTGCTGCTAAACAAAGGTTTTGATTCCAGAGATATTCATAAAATTGGCAAAATCTGCATCAGTAAACAAAAACATGCAGTGAAGGGTAAAGATCAAACTACAGACAAAGGTTTTGATTCCAGAGATATTCATAAAATTAGCAAAATCTGCATCAGTAAACAAAAAGATGCAGTGAAAGGTAAAGATCAAACTACAGATGACTTAGAGATATGAAGAGAAGTATGATAAGGATGTATACTCTCATCATTGCAGGTCAATCATACTCCATAACATCTTTAGAGAAGGACTTTCTTATTCACATGATGGTTATCAACAATGTCCAATATGTAGACAATTATAAAAAAAAAGATCAAACTACAGATGACTTAGAGATATGAAGAGAAGTATGATAAGGATGTATACTCTCATCACTGCAGGTCAATCATACTCCATAACATCTTTAGAGAAGGACTTTCTTATTCACATGATGGTTATCAACAATGTCCAATATGCAGACAATATAATATTACCAGCTGACAAGTTGGACAGCCTGCAAAGTTCACTTGATGAAGTCAATGAAGTAAGTACAAATCATGGTATATCATCACAGTCTTAGAAATGCAGACCTGGAAGGATCCCTATGGATCACTGAGTCCAGCTCCTGACAAGGAAGCACAGTGAGGGACTGAAGTCCCAATCTCTGGCTCAACAGTCAGATACGTAAACCACTTAGTCATCTGGCATAAACATGGCCACATGACCACGGAAACTGTCTTCGGACAAACGCTGGCTCTACGGCTTGGAAACGGGGATGAGCACCGCCCCCTAGAATCAAACACAACTGGACTAAATGCCAAGGGGAACTTTTACCTTACTGCAAAAAAGACATAAGAATTTGAAATACAGATTTATTGCAGTGTGATAGGAGCAGAATCCTTTCTCCTAATTCTGCACATGCAACCGTCATTGTGTGCCTGGTGGGGCTCTTCCAGAACTCACACAAGGAGATATCCAGTGCCTCCTTACACAAGGGCAAGCCCAGTTGTGTCCTCCCACTTGCACAATAAGAAGCTGGACATTGTGGGAGCTCTGTAAGTGGAAGTGGCCAAAAAAATCTGGGATCTAGAGGGTGACTACTAAAGAAATACTAATACATTGAGGGAGCTCTGTAAGTGGAAGTGGCTAAAACATGTCTGGGATCTAGAAGGTGACTACTAAAGAAATGCTAAGGCGAAGGAATAACACCTGAGTGATATAATCAGAAATTAGAAGTAGAAGAAAAAATATCACTGCAAACGGATCACAAGTAAATAAACGAGGAATGAAATTGTTATTGGTTGAAGAACTTAGGAGACTGCTTGGATGCCACATAACTGTTTAGAGCTGTCACATCCTAGTCAGAATACCTATGATGGCATTGAATAGCCAAAGAAGAATATGAATGAAATAATAAAATATCCGGAGATTCAAAAATCTATGCAGGTTTTTCCATATATCTTTGACCCATATTTCTATGTAGTCTCTATTATATACCACAGACGACAGAAATTCTTGATCCGTCATGCAGTTGAAGCAACCACTGAGCAGTTTAGGACTAAAGCGCAGACCCACCCACCTCCATCACTGAAAACCCTGGTGACCTGCACCTCACGCTTTGCTTCCTGCTATGCACTCTATTGTATAGAGAGCTGAGTCTGAGCTTGGAAAAGTTATGTTTTGGAGAACCACTCCCAGAATTGTAAAGCCAGAATTGTTAATGGATGACACCTTTCCCCCTCCTAAGGCTGGGGGTTTCCTAAGAGTTGTGATCCAAACAAACAAAATTCCAAGATATGGAACATTTGAGGACCAGATTCAAATCAATGCTCAGTTACTAAATCAATTGTGAGACTTCATGCAGGAAACGTTAGTGTCAAAGCTTAGGTTGCACACAGGCAACCATGTCCCAACAGCCTTCTTAATACAGAAAAGTAGTCTATGCAAGTTTACTGGTATATGCAAGTAACTTCTCAACCTAGCTTATCACAGAGGCTTCAGTATAAATACAGACACTAAAAACCATGCTAAGATTTGCCATGGGAGAGTACTCCTTGAGAGCACAAAAGTAACAAGTAGTTTGAACTAACAAAACAAGGCATATTGAGAACTGCAAGGCATGGAGATGGTGCAGTTAAAAAGTTTACTTTTATAACCCAGCGATCCATACTTTAAAAAGAGGAGGCACTCTGGATGCAACTGAAATTATATCACAGTTGAACTTAACCACAACAGGTGTTCTTAAATTAAGCTGTCATACTGGCTGCCCACCGAGCATTGAGCAAACACTCCATCATCCTGTTCTATAATCGGCATTGCCTCCCAAACCGAAGGGCTGGTTATAACCTAGACTGCAATATAACCTCTTCTGGCAAATGTGACACTTCCCACTATCATGGGCATCTACAGAAGAATTCTCAGGGTATTTAGGATTCTCCCTCCCTAACGATGTTTAGAACCCTTCAGTCTTCTCTGGATGCAATGTTAAGAAAGCTTTTTGTCTGAGAAAACATTTTATGGCCAGGTACAAAGCTGTTTAGTACGATGATGATGATTATTTTTTACAAGACATACAAGTATTTTTATTGAGTGCTTTCAATTTGTTTTCAATCTTTGGCCTTTCAAAGATGTGCCTTTTGAAGATACTACATAGAGTTCAACACCCAAGCATATGCTTCGAATAAATAAAACCCCAGGTTCGTCATCTCCAGTGAAGGGTACCTCAGACAGCAAAATAGGGAAGGACCTCCATCAAATCTTTGGAAATATTTTTTTTTAACTACAGTTCTCTGAATCTCCCAGCCAGCATAGCCATCTTTGCTACTTGCTTTTCACACAGAAATATCTATGCCTCTAACAGTGAAGAAATAGGTTGAAATTCTACAGGTTGAGCATTTCACATTGTTACACCTTTGTACAAAGAAGGATTTCCTCAGCAACATTTCTGTCTGAAACAACAATAAATAAATAAACAAGAGTTGTCAGACGAACAGGAAGCCTTCCAGGATAAAGGTGACAATTTATTTAGAAGAGCTAGTTACTGAGGAAGTTTGCTTTGTCCGCTGGATTAGAATGGTCCCATGTTTCATACCTGCTGCATTGGTTCTTCCTCTGAATACATCGTCATATGCTTTCCACTGGGGTGTCACTTGATAGGCATGGATGAATACCACAAATACCACCACAAGACACACTAGTGGGATCAGTACAGCTGTAAAAAGAGCTGCATAAATATTTGGAATAAAGCACCTGTAAAAAGAAAGGAGGAAAAGAAAATAAGATCATTTCCAAACATTATAGGCAGTTTTGAATCATGGTGTGTGCCACAAGCAGCTTGTGACCAGGAATGGGGTGGCCCCCACCAATAGCTGTGGATGATTCTCCTGCCTGTTATAGGCAGTTTTGAATCATGGTGTGTGCTGTGGATGATTCTCCTGCCTAGTCCATGAGCCATGCCTGGTATGGCCTGAGTGTGTATACACATATGCATGCATAATTCAACACATTTAATGGGCTACACATTTAACAAAGGTGTTTTTAAATGGCCTGAGTGTGTATACACATATGCATGTATAATTCAACAAATTTAACTAAGGTTTTTTTTTTAAAAAAGGTCAAATACTATTTAAGCATTTCCTACATTGTGAAATAAGTAGAGATAATTATTTTTAGAGGATTATTTTTATCGCAAGGCAAGTTTTAAAAAGTTAAGGTACTGTACAGGAAAATAATGCTTTTTTGTTTTAAATAGAGAGTGCATTTAATACCAGTCTTTTAGTTACACTTTTTAAAAGAATACATTATGCAGTTTTCCATACTTAGCACTCAAAACCACAAACCACATTTTTAATTTTAAAAAAAGTCAAAGAACTCTGTGCATACAACAAGACCATAATTTCCATTCTAGTTAAACGAAGCTGCATGTCACTTGTTAGGCTAAAGCTATTATTTCCTTTCCCTTCCCCACTCTCGTTGCCTTTTTTCCCCTTTCTTTGTCACTGTTTGCTTTTTTCATCATCTTAACATTATAATTTTTAGTCAGTATTTTTACTCCACAGTAGGGAAATAGGTAAGGCGAGGGTGGACCTCTAGCTTCAAAAGTAATGAAAGCAGAGGTTTTTTTAAAAAAAACCCCAGCACTTTCCTCACATGAACCCAGTAGTGAGTAGGTGGATTAGGGACAAAAGATGGATGAGTGCCAGTCAAGGATATATATGGCAAAAATAACATGACATCAGTGGAGCACAATCTACTTTACTGGAAAGTTGTTTGTTTGCATATTTATAGTTGTCACATTTAGAACAGACTGAATGAACTCAATGAGACTTAAGATAGAACTACAGTAAATTCTCATTGATTTCAAAAGGCATTTTAAAAGCATGAATAAGTCTGGATTAAAGCCAATATTTTATATATACACATTACATTTTCAATAACAAGCTTTAGTGAGCAACTCACAGATACAATTTTGTATAATGAGCTTTCATTCCAAGCACTCATTCTGAATTGGGTGTCAATAGGTTTTTCTGACTTGATGGCCTTACTAACTCCTAATGTTACTCATCTTTTAAAACATGTCCCTAATATGGCCCATATGTTCCTATTATGTCACAGCACTACCATTTCTGCTGTTGCACATTTTCATTAGCTAGCAAAAATGCTGAATTAATGTATCTGTCTCAGTGAAGTGCTCAGTGAAGGGCTACTTGTCAGTATAGCTGTGCTCCAAAACACGCCTATTGGGAAGTAAATCCTATTGAAGTCTATGACTTTATTCTATCAGAAATTCTCAAGAATTAGTGTGTCAAAAACGTTTTGATTTCCCTTGGAAAGAAACCAGGTTTGGGGGCTCTGCAGCAAGAGACAATTTTAGTTCAAGGTATCCTACTAAAGGTCCTGGGCACTGACCTATGCACTTAAAACATCGTCAAGGAAAAACAAAGCCATCAGATTTTAGCTTTATGGAAAATTAAGACTAACGATATGTGCATGCCTGTTTCAAAAGATGTATCATTCACAATTTCTTTTTTACCATTTCTAATGAATACAAATGGAAGTTGATTTCTTTTTCTGCGTTGTTAGGCACAAAGCCCCATATATAGCTACTTTCCTGTGTACTATCATTTCTGAACCAAGTCATTAAAAAGAAAGAAGATTTATAGTGTAAATCTGCATGTCTTTCAGAAGGTGTGGTGTATATCTAATTACATTTCTTCTTTTAAAACAGGCAGCAGAAATGGAGATATACATCAGGGCTGCTCTTTAGTCCTTTCAAATATGTCTGTGTATATTTATTAGTATTAAGTGATTCTGGTGACTTAGTTAAGGGCACAAGCCAGCCACTGTGGATGCAGACAGGTCTGCACAGAATTTAGACATGCCCTCTTGTCAGGACACTGGGCCATTACTGGAAGATGGAATGCACAAGTCATATCTCAGGGTACCAAGGTGCATGTAAGCTGAACCTGATACTGATTCATCCCATGTGTGAGTTGTATATCAGTGCAAAGGACAATCTACAGTGCACAAGTCATATCTCAGGGTACCAAGGTACATGTAAGCTGTACCTGATACTGATACATCCCATGTGTGAGTTGTATATCAATGCAAAGGACAATCTACTAGATTCTCTTGCAATAGTAAAAAATGATAGGCAGAATTATACCTACACATTTGAACCATAATTAAATTTTAATTTTTTGCAATTTCACTATCAAGACATCCCCCAATTCTCTCTTTTTCTAGCCAAGGTACATGTAAGCTGTACCTGATACTGATACATCCCATGTGTGAGTTGTATATCAATGCAAAGGACAATCTACTAGATTCTCTTGCAATAGTAAAAAATGATAGGCAGAATTATACCTACACATTTGAACCATAATTAAATTTTAATATTTTGCAATTTCACTATCAAGGCATCCCCCAATTCTCTCTTTTTCTAGTACAACAAGAGAGAGAGAGAGAGAAAGACAGACAGACAGACAGAAAGGTGATCTGTAGCTCACTGAAGTGTATGAAGTGTCAGCCAACTTTTCAATAAATGACAGCTCCTTCACATCATTTAATACTCCCAAATACCATTTTTTTCAAACTAAAAAAGAGACTTTCATATATTTCCAGTTCATTTATTTATTTAATCTCTTTTTTTCCTATCTATTTTTCAACATGTCAATTTTGAGCAGTCTATAAAATCCCTGGATGATACTGAGAGCATAAAACTGATACCTAGATTTGTTGAAAGTTGTCTACGCTTGTTCTAAAGCAGTGGTTCCCAACCTTGGGTTCCCAGATCTTCTTGGACTACAGCTCCCAGAAATCCTGCCCAGCACAGCTAGTGATGAAGACTTCCGGGGGTTTTAGCCCATTAACATATGGGGACCTAAGATTGGGAACCAGTGCTCTAAGGGAATGATCCAGTCCCCTATGAAATAATTTTTCTCTCTCTTCTGCATATATTACTTTGCACAGGATTCCATCCTCCCAGTTCCTGACTTGCAGCAGCACCACCATGCTGACATGTGAGTTTCTGTATGCAGAAGGTAGACTGGACAAATCTTAAAATTGACATCCTCCCCACACTCTTCTACAATAACATTACAAGGAACATAGTGGGACCTCCAAGCAGAAATGGACTGCAAGATCATGGTTCACTTGGCGTCTATTTCAAGCAATGTCCTTCTGCAAGATCTGTGTTAGCTGCCACATAGCATTACTAATAATGTATTGCTATGCAGATTAAAGTTGCTGTAGTACATCAATAAATCAGCATGGCATGTTTCCTTCCAAAAGAATAATCTGAATATGATGGCCAGTGACAAGACACACAAAGGTTAGGAACAATACGACTAACTGAATTATTATTATTGCACCCCCTAGACATAATTAAACACATTCACCCAGACAAAGGAATTCCAAAAGAACCATTAGTCCTTCTGATATTACAGGCAAAAATTCTTAGGAGCTTCCATTCATCCTTGCTTCTAGTTTAAATCTTTCCATTGTACCAATATTTATTGTCTCAAGCGATTTTTCATTTTGCTGTTACAGGCTAACATTCCATGAAAACCCTGCAACTATGAAGGAAACAGTGTGGCTTGATTCATATTCAAAAGCACTAAGGGTTGCTGGGCTATTTGAATTTGAGTTGTAAACCACCTTGAGGATCATTCAACTGAAAAACAGGATACACACAATAAAATACATGAACATTCCACACAAGAAAAACAGCACAATCTATCGCGCCTACCTTCTTAGGTGGATAACAAACTTTTCATTGGAAAACCTTGCACGTAAGCATTGCTGAACATTCCACACAAGCCAGAATTAGGACAGCCAGTCTGACTTCTAGCCCTACGTAACTCAATGTCTTTTAGGATGATATAATTCTCAAGGAACATATCTTGTGCTGAGTTGTAATGGATGACAAACTATTGGTATCCCTGATCTACAGAGGGACAAAGATCACCAAGAAATTGCACCAGTGCTTCCAAGGAAGAACCATGTGGCTAGGGAGACCAGCCTAGACAAATTCATTAACCAAGGAAGGAGCAGCCAAAGGGAGCTGGCTTAGGCACTTTCTGTCTGAAAGAACACTCAGCTGAAACTGCTAATTGCTATGTGACTGCTGAGCAAAGTCTTTGTCATTGGAGAGGAGGCCAAGGATCAAAGAGCTATGAGGATTTAGGGCCTATGTGTCTATCAGTTTATTATTAGAAGCTGTTGAACTCCACCTTGAAGATCATTTGATCGAAAGGCAGGGTGCAAATTTTCTAAATGAATGAACCCCTCCATGTACAACCCCTGCCTTTTTTTCACTAAGACTAGTAGGAAGCAGAAGTGCCTCATGGACTAGACTGGGGTACCTCAATCCCAAATTTCAGGGAGGTGGCCCCATGCTCAGTCACAAGCTGCTGCTCACACGATGCCCCCATTTTAGTGAATACTCAAATACAAGATCAACTTTATTATTGTCCCATTCATCTACTCACATGAATAGAAGATGAATAATAAGTTAATCCATAAATTCGTCCTGAAATTGATCAAATTTGAAGGAAACTACTGAATCTCAAATAGTAGTTTAAATAGTAGTGGAAGGAATATAACTACGAGAAAATCTGTCAATTAGCTTTGTACGTAAGAAATTCTACTGAAGAAAGATATACTTTCTGTCCCATTGAAAGCCTCTTGTGAAGGCTCCAATAATTATTGCTTGCACTTGTTGCTGTCATTCAGAAGGAACACTGTTC